GCTACACAATCATCCATATTTTGTGCCTTCGCTTATCGAATACGATTTCATACATTTTTTCCGCTGAAAAAATAGAACAGAAGAACGTCAATTTTTTTCTTTATTCTTTGAATTTCAAATGAAAATTGTAAAATCATTTGAAATGAAATACACCATCCATTTCGATGAATTGATGAAGAGCAAAAATGTATTCAGAATGTAACTGAATCGATATACATTCTATATACGACAGCGAAAAAGAGACGAAGTAGAGAGAGAGAATAAAAATACCACATTTTCATACGATCGTAGATTGAATATTCGATGAAGTGCTTTACTCCAACAAAGTCAAACGTGAGCTATATAGTTGCTGCTGTTATTGCTGCCATTGAAGGAAGAAGTGAAAAAAAACTCTCTCCAAAGTGAATATATAAAATAAAAATTGTGGCAAAATTCAATTCATGATGCTAAAATCGCATACAGAATCCCGAAGAAAACGGGAAATCATCATCATCTTTTTAGCATCTTCGTCTCGGCAACCATTGCGCTATTTCGATCAACGAATACTTTATTCGTGTTTTTTAGTGAGCTTGCAACATTTAAATCGGATGCAATAAAAATCGTACAATTTAATATTCAGCATCCTGTGCATGCACACTCATACAAATTTCATTGAAAAATGCACCCTATGCAAGTAAGTGCACGAATTACTTATGATTGAGTCTTGATGGACGACGTCGACGACGAAAAGGATGACGATGACGCCGATGCAAAAACAACAAGAAATAGACATCAATACGAATACTGCACACTGCAGAGAGGAAATTGATTACTATTTCCGTCCGATAACATCTCATTATAAGCAACTTTGAATTTTCTTCTTCTTTTTTTGAAAAGAATAGCATCTCTTACGGAGACGGCAAAATAACTGTGGAAAATTCAATAAGATTTGATCTTATTACTTTTGCCAAGAGTGAAACTTGATAGATGTGACGAAGATTGTCCGTCTTTTTTCCACTTTATATTTACGATTGCAAGCTCAAACGTGCTCGACTCTTTTTTTGGTTCTTTTGCTGGTTTTCTGCAATTAAATTCTGCAGATGGAAATTTATTTTCCGTGGTTCTGCAAGAAACAAAAACTTCATTTTTAATTAAAAAGATCCAATTGTGAATACTCATTTGGATTGAGGACGGGAGGAAGATTGGTTTTAACGTTGAAAAGAGAAAATGCAAAAACGAACTCAGAATGAAATGGAAATTATTCAAACGGTGCAAAACCATTTCGCATACAATTTGCACCATTTTTATCGAAACGAAATATGAGAGAAAATGAAAGGAAGAACTTATGGTTAACAAAACGACTTATAATTAAAAATAGAATGAACAAAAAAGAACAACAACTGTACAAATTGAACGGAATGCAATTTGAAATTTAAATGTTTTGTTAACGCATTTGTCTTCTGGCGAATTTCATGAAATTATATTTAATAAATATAATTACTATTCTTCGGTGGAGAAAAACTTTTAAAATTGATTTTTCCATTCGAATGTAAATAGTGACGTTGATTTGTTTCGGTATTTTTGGTGAACAAAAGACATTTTCGCCAAGCATAATTTGCATATTTCAATTGTAAAATTTCTGCGTCAAATTCAATTTGCCCTCAGCAAAACAAAGAAATGCATACCAATTGATTAATATTCACATTCGTTTTGGTTAACGAAAGAATGTTGGTGGCATGTGTTCTTTTTTTTCATTCATATCTCTTTTCCATCGGTCCTTGCACATTCACTTACTTTTTTAGTCATCGCGTAAATAATAACAGGAGAACGTCAAAAAGTTAAGTTGTTTACATGCTTCACGATGCAGAAACTTCTTCTCTTTGTACACTTTTCGGTTATTGTATCTGGTGTTAATGATAAATATATGCATAGCTGAAACAGTTTTTATTTCTGCGTCAAGCAGAGGGGAAAATGTATAATTAAAAAAAAAACACAAGAAATATAAAGTATGCAAATGGAAAATTAAAATGCAAACAAAACGGAACGAAAAGTAATAAAAGACTTGAATCGGTTTTGTTCGTGACACAGTGCACTGGCAATATGCAAATTACCGAGTGGCTGAGAAGATATAATGGTGCTTGCACACACCTTTTAGTCAATTAAAATTAGTCAAAGTTAGCAGTTTTCCATCGATGCATAACATTATCATCTTTGTGGATGTTGGAACGGTTTTTGGTAATTATATTAATAAATTATTCGAGATTCGCCCTTTATCGGAATTCTATCGATATTCATTAGTGTATTGATTTTCAAAAATTGCACAGGAATATTATATTTTCAAACACACGGCACCAAAATCATGACCATAAAGTGTTCAATGTATGTGGCATCCATGCGTGCGTGTGTTTGATATTTGAACAAAATATATTTACCGGTATTTTGTAAAATAAAACGACTCCCTTCCGTCTGCAATACAAGAAATATCAGATATACTTTGCATCGCATTTCGTTACTAGAATTTCAATACGGATTTGAAAAAAGTCGCTTATATGCTCTTCCGTATTACGAATATGAATAAGCGAATGAACGAGAAAAAAAATCATCTATGATAAATAATAATGTTTGCTAAAAAAATATTCGCAAAAAAGGAGATAAGACGAAATGTAATTTTTCGTAGCAATTTCGTGATTTCTTTTTTCCTGTCGTAATGTGAATGAATATACTTGTCTTTTCCTCTCGTCGCTTTTGATATTGCAATAGAAGAAATACGGCAATGAAAGAGAGCAAAAGTAAAAAAAATTGGTAAAAACAACTGTGTGTTGTGAAATGGCATATAAAGAGTCAATGTATTTCTTCCAATGTATTTTTTCACTGTCATCTGGCAAATTGCAAAAAAAAATGAAAAAACATGAAAAAAGATACATTGCAACAACGAAATTCGTTGTCAAGAATGAAAATGTTACGAATTCCACCGTATACTAAATTGAAATGCAAGAGAGAGGGAGATAGAGAAATCGGTAAAAAGAAAAACGAAATTTTAAATCTGTATGTGAATGTTTTTTTCTTCGTTCATCGGTGTGCTGATAAGACTCGACGATAGCGCAAAAAAAATAATTGGGATTGCAAAATTCAAAGGGGGATTGTTAATGAAGATAACGCTTTCCCTCTCTCTCTCTCATGAGTCGTGTACCAAAATCATTCGGTTTTATCTGTGTGATGTGCTTCACCATCCACGCAGAGACATTGGATCCTTTTTTTATAGGCGCAGTCATACGGTGGGGTTGACTCAGGCAATGGTAGAATCGGCTCAGCTCTTGCAATCCTGTCAGTCGTAATGACAATGTTGATGATGCTTTAAACATAATTGAGATTGAAGTGGCGCTCGTCGACAAGAACATTTTTTTTTTTTTTTTGATGTTGCTGTTGTTATGTACCGGTGTTCCACATTCGGTCGAGTATATTCGTTATACAACTGGGTGTACGATGAACAACAACAACAAATTTGACTATTCAACACACATTCATTTATTACAAATAACAATCACTTTTAACGTTCGAAAAAAACACATATTGACAAAGAAAAAATCGTCCAATTTCTCTTTTCTTTTCGTCCTTACGCGCACATCTTATTTTCTTCCAAAACACGCATGGCCTCACTCACAATCATAACGACGAATGCGATATTTGATGCTGTACGTACGGGAGAAACTAGCTTAGTGTTGTGTCGAAGCACTTTTATCGAACTGACAATGATAAATTTAAATGAATTATCATTTACTCTCAATCCCGACCATCATTCAAATGTTCGACTTCATTCTATTCGTTTTTGTATCAAATTCGTTTAGTTTTAGCATTTTTCAGAAAGAGTAAAAAAAGTGTTCGCGCGCGTCTGTTTTTGATGTCTCTTAAATAAATTGGATTCTTTTTTTCGGCGCACATAAAAAACTTTCTGAAATCAAATTCTAATTCATCGATGATTTTGTTTGACTCGGTTTCATGCACCAAAAACATGTGAATTTTCACTTTGCTTTAACTTTCCAATCTAGGGGATCGGATCTCGATCAGAAAATAGCGAATTATTCGATATTTTGCGAATTTTATGCGAAATGATTTGTAAGCGATGGGCCAGTAAAGTTGTGATTTAAAAAACAATTCGCAAACAAAACGCTATGAACGTGAGACAATTCGCAAAATTTGTAAGTTTTGTATGTATCAAATTGTGAACGCTTGTAAACGAGCCAAGTGAACAGCGGCGACGCACGAAAACGAAATGAGTGAATAGCGACAACGAACGAAATAAAAAATGTTATCCGCTGCCGCTATTCACTCACTTCGTTTTCTTGCGTCGCCGCTATTCACTTGGTTCGTTTGCAAGCGTATATTATATAGTTTGATTGTGATAACTTTTTGCGAATAGCTTGCGAATTGTATGCGAATTTCTTGAATTATTTTACTAAAATGACGACTTTATCATACAATCAATAAATTTTGTCCATTCGCGAATAGATCATTTCCCCCAGTTTCCAATTGATCGAATCTCGATGGAATAGATATGTACATTTAGATGGTAAAACATTCGAAATGCGAGTAAATAAAAATTTAATTTCAAGTACAAATCGGAAGCAAAACTGCAAACAACATTCTCATCGACACACTCAGACATAAGCGCGCGGCAGCGCTTATTCACATCATAGAAGCGGCAATTGAACGATAAAGCATTGGATCAATTGAAATTTAAATTGATCCAGCCCAATTGCTTTTGGGAGTGTGCTTTATCGTTACGCCAATGTACACATATTTTGATTACACAATTTTTCACCATTTTTCTCATCGATGTAAAAGGGACCATATTTGGTTTTGATGAAATTTTTTCCATTGAATATTAGTTCGGAACAGTGGATAAATTTTAAATCGATATTTCATGCGGTTAAAGAAGGAATGAATGGGCGATTTTCAGTTTGAAAAACTCTTCAACATAGTTTAATTATTAGTTTTTTTATTTAAAAACAATTTAAAGACTCTTTAATTCTCATAAGCAAAAATTTTAAGATTCTTTCCTATATTTATTCGAATCCGTGCGGAATGAATGGTTGATACAGGGGCATTGCGTGATTATCGAATGGTTTCGATCCCGATGAAGTTGAAGTAAAAGTGTTGGTGCTTGAGCTTGTTCTGTCGCCGTTACCATTATTCAAAACATTTGAAAAACTCGATGATGACGTTTTTGAACCTTGTACACCGTTTTCATTGAATTGTTCGACATTTGTCTGACTGCCACTGTTTGAACTGCCATATTTATTTTGTTCATTTGCATTCGATGAACCAAACGCTTTTTGTCGATCACCATTTGGTCCACGAAGGTTTTCAGTGCCTGTGATTGTTGGCAGAAAAATTATGACAAAAAATCAATAATAATATAGATAAAGTCAGATAAAAAACGCGTTAACATACCGGCAATTGAGTTTGATGTTTGCAAATTTCCATATTGATCATAATTTGCTGATTGACCCTGAGCGGCATTTTTTTGTCCAGAACCGTAAACTGTATAATAACTTTGTTGATCTGTGTTTGCAGCACTTAATTGTCCTGATTGTCCGTTATTAGCAAGATTCGATGAAATACTTGATCCACCGGTATTTTGGTATTGACCATGCGGATTTTGAACGTTTGATGAATAGGAATCGGCGCCAGCATTTTGATTGACGAATGGACTTTTATTTTCTGCAACAGCCTTTCCATTTGCATTCGATGAACCAAACGCTTTTTGTCGATCACCATTTGGTCCACGAAGGTTTTCAGTGCCTGTGATTGTTGGCAGAAAAATTATGATAAAAAATCAATAATAATATCGATAAAGTCTGATAAAAAACGCGTTAACATACCGGAATTTGAGTTTGATGTTTGCAAATTTCCATATTGATCATAATTTGCTGATTGACCCTGAGCGGCATTTTTTTGTCCAGAACCGTAAACTGTATAATAACTTTGTTGATCTGTGTTTGCAGCACTTAATTGTCCTGATTGTCCGTTATTAGCAAGATTCGATGAAATACTTAATCCACCGGTATTTTGGTATTGACCATGCGGATTTTGAACGTTCGATGAATAGGAATCGGCGCCAGCATTTTGATTGACGAATGGACTTTTATTTTCTGCAACAGCCTTTCCATTTGCATTTTGTTGCACATGATTGGGGTTAAAAGGAGATGGAGGCTGCGTAGATGAATAATATGTTAGCTGCGGTTGCATAACATTGGGGTTATAAAGAAATGGAGGCTGCGTAGTTGTATAATATATTGGCTGCGGTTGCAAATTATTGGAATGGGAATAAGGTGTTGGATTTCCATGAGGATTCTGATGAATATTTTTTTGAATTGGTCTGAACATATCGCCAATAAATTGTCTCAAAGACTCCTTAGAAGGAACAGAATAACTCAACCGTGTATCAATACCAAACCCTGTACGTAATTCAAGCTCTGCAGACTTTTTCTTGTTTTTCACTTTATTTATTGTTTTTGTCACGAATTGTAGAATGGGAGGAGATTGCTCAACAGTATCATTTTTGGGGGAATCTATATGGGTGGATGGTATGTAACTCTGCTGTAATTGTGGTGAAGGAAAATCGTTCTTGTTTTCATTCTGAAATTGAATAATCCAACATGTATCAATCATAATTTCATATTGTTTTTCTGAGATAATATGAGCTCAGACAAAATTGTTTTTTTTTTTTTTTTTAATCTCATTTGAATGCAATTTTTTCGTATATTATTAATGAAAATAAAGTGTTCATATATGCGATTTTTTTCTTACATTCTCACTTGGAAACGTGATATCACTGGTTGAACGTATATAACTGCTGACCGTATATGGGTGACCTAAGACGATGCGAAAAAATGAAGTGATAAAATATTGTCTTTTTTTACTTATGATCTAAATGGGATTATCAATTCGTTCCGAGTTCGTTGAATGTATATAGTCGACTTTTTGTGAGTTAATAATTTTTTCGTGCACATCACACCAGACAAATTGAAAAATTGATGACAGTTGAATGCACTACATATGTACACAATTATCATTATGTCAGCACTTTGTAATGATTTAAATCATGAATCATAACTTACCATTTACAGTAATTGCCAGCAAAAGCAAAACCGCGGTTAACGCTCTCAATTTTCTGACCGTTGTCATCTCTCTGGAATAATTTGCGCTGTTTCGATTGATTTTTGTGATGGAAAAAATCGATCAGATGCGAGAAAATGTAATTTTATGGACTGAACTCAATGAAAACACTGTAAATGCAAAGTCAAACTTTTATTCTCAAATATATTTTTTTCACGATGTTTCGCATAAAAAGAAGCAAGTGTACTGAATTCGAGATCTGGTGATAGACTGTCATTTTATTTCTCATTTTATTTCTTTTTAATCAGACTCAAAGTGCTTTGTGTGAATAAATGAATTGAAATGCTGCCAAAAAACCCAAGTGATAATGGCACACTACTCAGTGCAAAATCCCAAATCAACAAAAGAACTGATATACAGTTATGTATGATGCGCGCAAACGAATGTGTTTACATAAGCACAGAATCCATTCAAATTTTATTTGGTTTATCTCTAAACTTGACCGAAATTGATAGAGTACATGATAAAATGTTAATAGCTGTTTCGAAAACAGAATTTCCACTGACATCATACATCAGTCTGGAAATGAACAATTGTTGATTCTATTTTTAATACGTATTTGAATTATAATTATTATAAATTATAAAGAATGGCAGTCCACCAAGCAACGAAATCATAAGAAAAAGAATTAAAGGGGCAGTATTAACAGACCTGAAATGTAACGTTTTTGTGACAGTTTGTGTATAATAATAATTGTCCGTTGACTTTTCATCATGGGGTCAATCACGAAATTCTAGTGTATCTAGTTTTTAATAAGATTTCACTAGAAAACTAGAAAATTCTAGTGCGTGAAGTTGGCTCTCAGTAGTTTTTCATATAAATTATATGGCCTTTGGTGTGAAGTTGGCTTCGTTTGTGACGTCATTATTCGCACTAGATTTACTAGTTTTTCTAGTATTTACTAGCGTGATTCGCCCCATGCTTTTCATAATCAGAAAGCTTCAGATTTAATCCATTATCGTTGCATCTTGTTCACCGATGACGTCTTCTTCGATTTAAGAGTCTTAATCATATACAAAATAGTCACCAAATTAGCAAAACTATACCGCTCTCAGAAAAATTGCAGATTTGTAAATTTGTGTAAAACTTTATTTTAATAAAACTTGAACGACAAAATGATACTTAAACTCGCAGATAATTCTAATTTAGTGTAAGTTTGAATGGGATTTTGTTGTATAAAAACATTTTTGAAATTTTTGGTTGGCATATCTATCGGCCAAAACCTTGTTGTGGATAATATTGTTGAGGATAATATTGTTGAGGATAACCGCCGCCAAATCCTTGTGGATAGGCTCCTTGTGGATAATAGGCTCCTTGCGGATAATAGGAACCTTGACCTTGAAATGGAACTCCGCCGACTGGACCACCTCCATAATATGGTTGATTGACCTGACTTAATCCATTTGCGACTCCTCTGATAATTCCACCTAATGGACCTGGCCCTCTTCCTCCACCACCTAATAGACCACTAAGTAACCCAAATCTTGATTCAAGTTCTTCTGGTTGTGTTGAATTTTTATTGCTTTCTATTGCATTCACGTCCCCATTAACACTCTGTTGTGGATTTTGTGTGTCTAATTCTTCAGCTTTTGGAAAAACAACGGAATCCTCGGCAGCACGTCTGGTTCGAATGCCACCACCACTTGCAACGGCACCAGCGCCAGCGCCCGCATTTCCATTCTCAATGCCAGAGTTGGAATTTGAATTTGTTCCAAAGTTTCCATCCAAACCGCCATTATTTACAACATTTGAAAAACTCGATGATGACGATTTTTCACCTTGTACACCGTTTTCATTGAAATGTTCGACATTTGTCTGACTGCCACTGTTTGAACTGCCATGTTTATTTTGTTCATTTGCATTCGATGAACCAAACGCTTTTTGTCGTTCACCATTTGGTCCAAAGGTGTTTTGAACGCCTGTGATTTTTGGCAGAAAATTTATAAAAAAATAAAATCAATAAAAATATCGATAAAGTCTGAATAAAAACGCGTTAACATACCGGAATTTGAGTTTGATGTTTGCAAATTTCCAAATGGATCAAAATTTGCTGATTGACTCTGAGCATTATTCTTTTGTCCAGAACCATCAGCTGTATTATAACTTTGTTGATCTGTGTTTGCAGCACTTAATTGTCCTGATTGTC